TTAGGGTTTCAAATTAGTGTTACCACAGAGACGTTAATTAATATCTTTTGTCTAAATCTAATGTACAGTAGCAAGCATGTTCATGTCTAGCAACATCTGGGTTAATTTGGTAATGTCAATGTTAACTTAGGACGGAGATTTTTCATTGTGTCTATGCTTGATCGAGCAATTTGGTCTTCACAAGCCTATCAAACTTTGGAGATTGTGCAGATAAGAATCTAACCAGGCAGTCTGATGCTCTGTCCATCTTGGGCTGTTTATATTTTTGGTATACTTGGCCAGTGTAGTAAATATTGACCAATCAAAACCATTTTTACAACAAGTATGGTAGAATGTTTAAAGATTAATTTACCGAGGGAAAGAAACCGATCGGACACATACTTTCCGAGTTATTCCGATTAGAATTTGGTAACATAAGCCGCGAAAGGTAAAAAAAATAGCTTCCTACGCTGAAAATCCAATGGAATTGCCTGCGTTTAATCGAAAAGTGACGGAATAAAACATAAATATATTTTGTTTAATTTCATCTCATTAGAAAAATGAAAGATAGATCTTTTATTTAAAAAAAGGAGGAAATTGATCTGATGAGCGGTTCCAAAGTTATGATAGAAAATGTTGTAAAAAATGATGTTTTCAGGGTTTTCTTAGAATGGTTTTATCAGTTTATGCTAGCGCGCTACTAAAGAGCGCCTACAAATTCATATGTACAATAAAAATGACAAATTTCTATTTAAATGATACTTTATTTAAAAAAAAAAGTTACTGCAATCCTAAATACCTTGACATAGCATCTTCTGAAATTTTATAAGCTTAGGCAGACCGGCTTGCAACATTTGGAGTATTAATGCTACAGACTATGTCCTCAACAGAAATCCAACTTTTGTCATCACAACGTGGCCAATAAAACAAATTTCTAGTAGTCTCATTCTTACTCATAAATTTTACATAAACATCTGAAAACTCAGTTGATTGATCAGTAATAAGACCAACATAATTCTGAAAATCATATATACAAATAACATACTGACCAACCGAGCATTCATCAGCTTGTGGTACAGATACACTAGGTGTAAAAAAAGAAAATAGACTATGGGGCAAGAGGTGAAAATAGCTCTAAAAATGACTTTTGTTGTCTCCATCTTGTGACTACCTAAATTATGGCTTAAAATGTAGGTATTGAATGCCTGATCAATATCCTGATATTCTTCTGTAAAGTTCTTCTGTAAGGTCAAAGGTCACAGGTCATTATTTTACATGTTCTTGCTATAACTCAAGAACCACATAAGGGATCAAATTCAAACTTGGCTCATGTATGCATATTGGAGTGATGATAATCTGGTACAACTTTGAGGTCAAAGGTAAAAAGTCATTTTCACATTGAAATAGCTTGTTTTCACAATATCTTAAGAACTGCTTGAGCAGGGCTCAAGTATACATTATGGAAGTGGCAATAATCTGATTTTGGGATCACAAGGTCAAAGTTCAGAGGTCACAGAGGTCATTTAGAATAAAGGGTATGGGGTCAAAACAGCTCACAAAATTGACTTTGACCTAAACTGACCGAGATTATGGCTTGAAATGTGGGTAATTTCTGGAAGATCCCAGCTCCGGAAGTGTAGCACCTTTAAAAAAATGGAGTGTAAAGAAAAAGATCTAAAAACAAGCATTAAAAAAATGAAGGCAAGTGAAAATGTTATAAATCAATAAGCATTAATCAAAGTGGCATTTTTATTGATGCAAAAATAAATTTTAAGTAAAAAATTCTCATATGAACATATCCCTAAATGTGCTTGTTGACTACATATTTCCTATAAAAAAGCGGTTTGGTAATTGGCCCTCTGGATATGTTTTATGAGGGCATCTGTCTTCTTGTCTAGTAGCCATGGAAAACAGAGCATATCTTGCTTCATTCACCGTACTGATTTTGTTCATTCCATATAACTTGCAAACAAATTCCTCCAGAGTAGAGATCAAGTGTGAACGATTTTCCAAGCTCTTGAAAAGCCTTGGTAAACTTTGGAGTCTTGGACATCAGCGAGAAGGGTTTGGTCTTTCCCCGTCCTTACAAAGCACTAACGGCATCACAATCTGTAAATGTGTGGAAGCCTACGGTTGCATCGCTAATGTAATTTTCTAGATGACACTGTATCGCATTCATGTCAAGTGTACGCTCCTTATCCTGCTTTCCAGTGCAAAAATACAAATTGGAACCCTCATGTTGGGCAGATACGGCAATTTCGATGACGAATACATCTGTATCAGGGCTTTTTATGATGATATTCTTCGTACCCATGTTGCTGATGTACTTTGCATAACATCATCCTTGTGTCAGCCTCCTCATGAGTAGTGTATAGCTCAGGAATCGCTTCACAGACAGTTGTACCTCTACAACAAGATAACTAGTGGCATTCTTGAGAATGAGCCAGGTATACATCAACTCCGTTGATTTCATCTGCACCACAAGCACACCAGGTCTCATATAAAAACTTGGTAAAGTGTTTCTTGTTGAAGCTATTTGCCAAAAATTTTTTCCATTGCTTTGGAACTGGTTGATGCTGGTTTGCAATCTTAATCCGCTCGGACCCACTTGCAGCACGCCTCAGATCAAACCCAACTTCCTGCACAAAATCTCTCGCGATATCAGCCTGATAACCCACTAATTCTCTCCAAACCTTTACACTGTTTAAAAATGTGTTCCATCGTTTCTCCGTAAATGGTTTCAGATCTTCGCATACGCCAGAACAATGAACAAAGCACCTGCTATCAGGCGAATTTCCAGGGACAGACATGATGGTTACGGCGATGAGATAAGAAGACAACACCAAAGCCGGTTGATACAATTTTTCTGATTGGCTGCTGATTTGCGATAATAATGTTGGCGATCGGATGGGCCAGTTGCATGTACTGATTGTTTTAGCGAAGTGAGAAGAAGATGATTTATTGAAAAATATATTGACTCTTTTTATAAAAATACTAAATAATGTTCCACTTCCGAGTCTGGGAACTAAAAAAATTACTTATAGCAAAATCTGGTCAAAGGAACGGTTTCACCTATACTGAACCGTTCACTTAAGTTAAAGATTTTATAATTTTCCTTAACATCTTTTTCAGTTACATAATTATATAAAGTCAATCCCAGCAATGTTGTTGTTACACCACTCAAACATTTCATAAGGTGAGAGTATTTGTTTCATCCCCTCAAACCAAGCCTGAAGGCTTGCCCTTACTACCAGCCTTTTCGCAGTTCCACTTATCCCATCACAGGGGCTCTACTGTATGTATATCAAAGCTAAATAGTTTTATTGTACACATGTCATCACAAAATACAACTAAATTTGAATAAATCGGTCTCTGAAATAAATTTAGGCCCACTGATTTTCCTGTTAATTACCCAATGCTAAAACAATTTTTATATGAAATGATTTTAACTAAAGTAAACTAAATATAGTTAAACATTTGAATACATCAATCAAACTATGGAGTTTAAATTGATTAACATAAATTTTCTGTTTATACATTTTTTATAATTAAATTGAAAATTATGCTAATTAATGCAAATTAAGATAATCTGGTTAAAATTTTAATAAAACATAATTACAGAAACATTGTGGGATTATGTGTAATTCTGACCTGTAAAATATGTCAAGAAGATGGTAAATATTAAATGATATTTTTAATATTCTGATTGTAACATTTATTGAACTTGCTAAATTTTCAAGTTGATATTGCAAAATCCATATTAGATTCTACCACCAAACACGACAAGGAAACTGAGAACCGCCTATGCATTGCTCGGCGTAGGCCAGTCTGCGACTTTACCTGTGAACCTGTGTCAAGTAAGGCTTTGAATTTTGTAGGTTTTCCATTAATATTGATGGTTACAATGCTCAGTGATCCATTCCTAATCTTAATGTAGCAAATAAAGGAAATGAGGCAATATTATATAGCACTTTAATTGTATAAATAGGATAAAAATAAAAAATGTTCTGTTCTGCCGCTGACAACGTGTTTAAGTTTTTTAGCTTACAAAATGTAAACCACTTTAAAGACATGCATGTTATACTGCATTCTCGTAGATGGTCGCCAAGATGGGCATTATGTTCAAGTCTTGGTATCCTTTTTGTTGAAGTTTGTCCCTGACAACCTGCAAGCCAGTAGATTGAGTTTATTGTATAAAGGGTGAATGGTAGGATAGTGTGTCGGTAGGGCCACTGACCTTCGATTTACAAGTCTTAGTATTCTACCATATATCATATAAAAAGCATAAATACTGTACAGTACAGTAGAACCCCTCATGTACGCAAGGCACGGGGCCCAGAGCCGTTCGTAAATGCGGGTATTCATAAAATCGGGGTTGACACAAATTCCTATGTATTTGCACTGGTACTACTTACACTGGCATAAACCAGGCCTAGGCTAGGCTTACGCAGCTAAGTCTGAGGGGGCCTAGGTAGGCAGCTTCTAAGCATTCTGATCCCACTCTAGGCCCTACACAAATTTGTTTTTATCGGACATTTTTACCTTCTAAAATACCTAGATTGTGGATTTTACTCCAAAAAAACCTTATTTCTTTTGTGGTGGTTTTTATTCAATTTTCACACTTATATACAGGTCTCTGACTTGCTTCTTATTTTTCAGCATACCGTGTTAAATTATTACCGTGTTATAATAATATTCATGCTTTTCTACTAAACTAGTTGTGGAACGCATTCATTATTATCACAATACTTGGACTTGCATTATATATTTGAAGCTCAGATAACAATATTCGGTTCATCATAAATCTTGATTTCTTTGTTATATCAATATATTACTATTATCATCATCATCATCATCATCATCATCATTTACTTCATCTGTCAGTTTCTGTAAAAATATTAATATAATAATAAAAACACTAATAAAGATAATAAATTAAATAATGATGATATCGATGAGAATTATAGTAATAATGTGAGATGTTGGAATTCACAGGAGAAATAACAGTCATGGAGATGAAGTAAACTTCAACGACTAATTATTTATTTCGAATAGGAACTAGGATCAAAAGCATGTGTCAGGCGTAACACACAATCATAGTAAAAACCGTAGCAAAAACAAACCAAAACAAAACCCCCAACTTGACCGGGCAGTGACTGCCAGCATGCGTCAAGCTAGAAAGGAAAAATACAATATAACATAATAAATTATAAATACAGTTATTGCAAGATGCAATTACAACTGATTCATATCTATAAGTTCTGTACCATTATTCACAACATATTTAGTTGGCTTATTGCCTTACTTCACTTAAATATGCTAATCAATTAAATAAAAATAAGAGTAATTAAATCTAACACACACAGTAATTAACTGCAGTAATATTAACAGAGAAATGATGGTTTTAAGAATGCATATTATCAACAATATGGCAAATTATCATCATAAAATGATAATTAATAAACGTCGTAATAATACCAAATAAATCAGTAATTAAATGTAAATAAATAAAATAGCAAACAACATAATCATATCAATATCATCAATTGTAATAATAAATAAAAGAATGGTATTCCAATCATAATAGTAAGCATGATAAATAATAAGTACAATCAAATATTTAGTCATCATATCAAGTTAAACAAAGGAACTTAATCCCACCTTATCATAAGCTGCACGTTACGACGTGACTCTATAACATGAGCCTTCTTGTCCTTGACTATTGCAAGTCCTGTTAACCAAAATAACATAGCATTCTTTAATACAATGGCTCGAGCGTAACAAGCATGACCTCTGGCCTTTACACTTTCACTAGTTACACACTTGTTATTTCTTTACACACATTTACTATACTTTACTATTTACTTCATGAAATGCATAGCTTAACATATCATAATGTCAATCCTTAGTGCTGTCTCTTATACACATCTAGATGTGTATAAGAGACAGGCGTAGGCCAGTCTGCGACTTTACCTGTGAACCTGTGTCAAGTAAGGCTTTGAATTTTGTAGGTTTTCCATTAATATTGATGGTTACAAATAAAAGAATGGTATTCCAATCATAATAGTAAGCATGATAAATAATAAGTACAATCAAACATTTAGTCATCATATCAGAACACGTTATATCGTCATTGCGGACTTATAAAATCCGCATACGCCTTAAAACTAAAAGAAAATGCATACATTTAGAGTCCGTACTGAGCCCAAAAAATCCGCAATGAAAATATAACGTGTTTCAAGTTAAACAAAGGAACTTAATCCCACCTTATCATAAGCTGCACGTTACGACGTGACTCTATAACATGAGCCTTCTTATCCTTGACTATTGCAAGTCACGTTAACCAAAATAACATAGTATTCTTTAATACAATGGCTCGAGCGTAACAAGCATGACCTCTGGCCTTTACACTTTCACTAGTTACACACTTGTTATTTCTTTACACACATTTACTATACTTTACTATTTACTTCATGAAATGCATAGCTTAACATATCATAATGTCAATCCTTAGTGGATCTATATGACAGATTATTACTCTGTATTGTATTTATCCAGTGATAACACTAGCATATAAATCTAGGCTCAACCCAGTTCAACAAACTCAATCACAGCCCTGTGGCACACATGTTGCTTGTCCTTAATATCATGCCTGTCTCCCTAAGCTTAGGCAGGGGCCTATCTTAGCTATGAGCAAGTTAATATCACATTATAAAACAATAGAGCATTCTTTAATTAATAATGCCAGATCTAAATACATAAAATATCATTATAAAAAAACCTAATAGAACATACCTATGCCTTCCCTAGGCAATACAGTACATGACAACCTGCACAACTTTACATAATGTGTTGCTCCTTCGACTTCTGGTTTTTTTTGTTAATAAACGCTGTCAAAAGAGACGCTCTAATCCTAATTACATATAACCCGCGGAATTACCCTCCGCACTATATACAACTTTATCAGGCTATAATCATATAAAAGTAATATTCTCTTCTTAACCAGCAACTAGTTATGAGACACATATATAATTGCAATGCATCATCATTACTAAACATATTTTTAGTAATAAAATATATAATTAAGAATGAGAACTATATATAACTGGGTAGTAACACAGGGCTACTCACTCCTTTACTAAAGCATCTACGGAAGTCGTTATGTAACATGATTAAGATAAATATGGTATTAATTATCAAGATGATGAACAAAGAAACCAAAATTAAACAAAGAAACTACTGATATCCAAAATAGAGTCATAAGGAAATGGGTAAAACCCAAACCTTACAATAATAAGGATGAAGCTTTTCCGTCTGTATTTCAGGGCTTCAGACCTTCAAAGCTGGACTATTCAACTTTGGCTGCATTAAAAAGCTTTTTTTTTTTTTTTGTAAAGATGCTTTTACATCAGTGGCACACATACATAATGGTTCGTTAAAAAAATAAAATAAAAAATAAGCTCGGAGAAAAGTAACAAATTGAATATGAAAACTTTTTTAAAATTTGGAAAGTGCAACTTCAATTCACAACGTACAATTCATTAGCGATCTGTGTCCAGAAATGGAAGAACGGCGAATCCCCGAACCGCTGGTTCCACCTGAATTCTGCCAGGTAGCCACCAATCATGTCCCGATTGGTAGGACCCATCATGGACTTAAATTTTGCTTTTGCCCTTGACCACATTGCCTCTGTGTGGTTTGTGGTTACCCCCGTATTTGGGTCGACGAAGTGGTGGGTGTGATTCACTGTACCATGCTGGAAGCTCTGGTTGGGGATTAGATTGTAGGCGGCCCACATGTCCGACCATATAATTGAACCTGGAGCAATCCATTGATTAATTACAGGCATCAATGTGGCCGCATCTCTTCTGTTTACCAGCACCATCACTCCTCTTTTCCGTGCCGCCTCGTATGCTCCAAACACTCATTTTTCTGGTACCATCCTCCCTTGATTGTACTTTCGCTTCGCGAAGGCAGACTCGTCTATCTCTACAATCGACCCAGTTCCTCCAATTTGCTGTGGGTGATTCACAAAGTATTCTACATCGACATCTCTGCAAAATTGGTTCCAATCGACGATGGTATGCTCTGAACCAATATCCAATTCCCGCATTAAAAATTCTTGTGACGGGCCTCTTGGTCTTCCGCAATTTGTACTCCACATGTATGTTATGGCAATAATCTTCCACAACGGGATATGTGCTGCTTCGAAAAACTACCCTTCCTGATGCTAATTACCTCCCTACAGTCTCGGTTGCGGCATCGGAAAACCCGGCCATCTGTTGTATACTCCTTCTTGACAGAGAACATTACAAACTGGGCATACCATCGTTTGAGCCAATAGGCCATACCGCCTGCACCACGCTATTGTTACATCAATATTTTCGCTAAATCTAGAACCGATGGTAACCAGTCGTATTGACTCGAATTCATTTCTGTCCGGTAATGGCCGTTGAACCGCTGCAGCTTGTGCCATTAGGAACCTTCTGAGAATGCAAAACTAAGCGAGAGGAACAAGCCTTTAAGTTTGGTGCTTAAGAACAAGATGTTCATCAATCGAATGTTAAAATTCGAATAACAATATATGTGCTTGGCTCCTCCTTTAAAGTTTATTGCAAAGTTGTATAATTGGTGTAGGGATTAGTGATCATTGCTTGTGGTTGGTTGTAAACCAACTTACTGTCCACGCCTTAATTAGTTTAAGTTAATATACAACAGATGTAGTTCTTTAGAGATTCGTTTGATTAAAAAAGTACCTGATTGACCACGTAGATGGGACACCCTGGTAGGCAATTCAATCAATCAATCAAATCACATAGATCAAATACTCGAATTCGATTATAATACTAACGTAGCTAAAGGCATGTTTTGCATAATACATTAATATTTAAGGACTCTACAACTTGGAAGTTTGATTTTGAGCATGAGGTGAACTTATGCATTCGATACACTGCCCATCAACTGAATTGAATTTTA